AGGCTGATAGACAGAAAGACAGAGAAAGAGAGAGAGAGACAGAGAGAGAGAGAGAGAGAGAGAGACTGCAACTTGCATGCCAGTACCCAGCAGCTGCTCTCCAGAAGACACCACTCTTTGGCAGGCAACTCTGAAACACCCTGTTGGGTTATTTCAGATTCATGTACACATCTTGGCTGAGAGTAGAAACCTCTCAGGCATAACCTGGGTCCCCTTCTCTGCCTTGTGACTACCCCAAATATTCTGTCAGCCACAAACAGTAATGCCAGCATCTTAAGAACAGAAGCCCAGATTGACATGAACTTGTATTTCATTTTGTACCCTGCAGCTATGAACTGATGCATGCCTTGTTTGAGATGTAAGTAATGTGAGCCCTAGAATGATTAGACCATTGTGCAGGTACCATGGTCTAATAGCTATAACCCAAGGCACTAGCTGTATGCAAACATTTGCTATTACTACACTGTGTTGCCCCTTCATTTGAATGCCTATCTCTTCCACTTAGTATCACAAAAGACAGCAAAGTGCTAAGAACACTTCAGAGCAACATACAAATGTATAGTGTTATTAATAATAAGAAATATCTCCCTATATTTGGTTCTATATTCTTATAGGCTTTTTAAAATTTATCAGTCATTAGAGAAATGTCATACTTTAGATTGCTTAAGTGTGTAGATTCAATGTAATTTTCACTTGAATGGGATCACTTGTTCAGAAGAAGGTGAGTGGGAAGGGAGATGTGTTCCTTTATGCCACAAGTATATATTGCAGCAACAGCAAGTTATCAGACATACTTACCACCTTCCAAGTGGTCAGTTTTTGTAATGTCTTACTTAAGCTCCCAACATCCTTTTAAGTTTATCCTATTCTTAATGATTAAATGAGAAAATCAAACATGAGAAACATTAAGTAACTTCCGGGGGTCTAAAGATGATATCATACTGAGATATCATCCAAAGCCTATTTTTTATTTTGTATTTATAACACTGAAGTAATTTCAGACTTACAGAAGAGATACACGAAGAGTAAAGAATTTCTATGTTCTCTTCCTGGTTCTACATTTTTCAATATTTTACCATACTTGTGTTCTCGCTCTCTTTCCCCACCTACTTTGTGTTACTATATGTGTTGTTTTTTCTGAGTCAATTTGTGCACTAATATGATTATTCTAAATAAGTGTATTCATCTGTGTAGCCACAGTATAGAAATCAAAGTCAGTGAATTAACACTGATTTTTTTCTAATTCATTAATCCAACTCAACTTGTCACCAAATGTCTTACTAATACCTCTTATAGAACAAACTACTCTTTCAGTTTATGAGTATGTGTTCCATTTAGTTGTCACATCACCACCCTCTTCTTGATTAAATTGCTCTTCAATCTTTCAGTTTCTTTTGTGACCTAGATATATTTGAACAGTTCATTTTATAAAATTTCTCAATTAAGGTTTATATCATGCTGTCTCATTATAAGATTTATGTATATTTTGACAGGAATACCACAGATGCAGTGCTATATTCTTAGTTAACCATGGCAAGAGACACATAAATGGCATTGGTCCTAAAACTAGCCCACTTAGTTAAGGTAATATCTGCCAAATCAAATTATAGTTTTCCAATTAATAAATATTTGGTGGGGAGACCATTTTAGAGTATGTAAACACTGTTCCTAAATAAACTTTCTATTGTAAAGAATAGTTTTCCTTTTCATTTATTTTCCTATGTGTTTATTATATACATAAGGACTATTTGATATCTTTTTTGAAGTTATAATCTATTAACATCATTATTTATTTTAATGCTCAGATTTGGCCCAGTAGAATTCCCTTCAGGCCAATTCTTGTGTCCTCTTGACAAATCCTCTTCAGTTTTTCAAGAACTTTCTTATCTTCTGGCACAATAAAGTATTCCACAAGCTTCTTATATTTTCTCTATGCAGCCCTGTAATTAGCCACATTTTTTTTTTAAAAAAGACCCAAATTCTTATAGAAAATGTTATTTAGAAGCCAAAGTCTTTGTATTGGGTGTGCTGATTCTACTAGGTGTGCCACAGCTTCTAGGCCTTTATAGCCAGCAGGCTAGGGAACACGTGCATACACATGTACATGGGACTGTAACTATTGCTCTGTCTGTATGTGTTAAAGACTGTGAGATCACATCGAGAGTGCTACTTCTAGCATAAAGGCATTCTGACTTTTATTCTTGCCACATTTATAACCCCCCGCCCCCATGAGAATAGTCTAGCTTCTGTTGTCCTCATACTTAATTCCTTCCTCCTCCTTGCATTCTTTTTTTTTTTTTAATTTAAGAGGAAAAAGAGAAAAACACAAAACAAAACAAAGCGGTGTAAGGGTACACGTAATACAGAACTACAAAAAAAAAAATAACAGTAAGAAATCACCTGTTAATAGATTACATATTATCATCTTGAAAATAGTTGCTCAAATCACAGTATCAAAGAATACAAGGTGGACATTCAAACAGGGAGACTGCAAACAGCTGTGTTCAATGATCCAAAAACATTGATATAGTCAGCTATTTAACACCCCTAAACACACTTGCTGTTATATCCGTTAGAGCTCTTTTTCTTTTTTATTTTTTTTCCCTCTCTTTTTTACAACAAAATTTACACATTTTGGATTTTATTACTCCTTAGTGCTTATTACTTTTTTGGGGGGGAGAGAATACAGTCAAATATGGCAAAACAAAGCTGTCAGTCAAAACCAAGGATAGACATAGCACATGGTGTAGAACAGAGTACAAGGTTATCAACAATGGTTATCAACGTTGTCTCTTGTTTCCTTAAAAAGAATTGTCTATCTCATTAGATATTATAAAGTTGGACAAAACAGTAGAGAACAAGACCAATAAAACTTAGGCATTGTAAACATTACAGGACTTCCAAAGAAGATAATAGTCAAACCAGAATGGGCATCTTAGTGAATCTTATTGCCTTCAAAGTAGTTGCCTATATCCTCAAACTTGATACTATCATACAGAATGGAACAGAGTCTAATCCGTCAAAACAAGATCGTGGGAGTATTACAGGACTTCAAAACAAGTTATTAGGAAATCAAAAAGAGTTACTATTTATATTTTTTATTTTTTTATTTTTATATTTTTTAAATTTTTTCCCTTAATTAAGACAAACATAAGAAATGACTAAATAATTTTTTTAAAAGAATAAGGGGGAGATTGAGATAAAACAGGACATAACAATATAACAATAGAGGTCAAAGCATGACTGTTTCAGCAACCTAGTACTTCACCACCATATAACCCGACTTAATAGTAGTTACCATAGTGTCTGTCTTTTTCCTTGAAATATTTGGATAAAACTTCATATACTCTAGCTTCAAATATTTCCATATCAAGAAGCCCAGAATAAAGCCTTTCTAATTAATGAGTGAAAACTTTATAAGGCTTCAAGGCCACCTAATGGGGAATCATGATTACCACATATTTTTATATATTTGAATCATTACTTACATTAGGGAAACTATCTGGTATTCACACATGCCCTCCTTGCATTCTTAAAATGGGTATCTGCATGGAGAGGAGCTGGAACTTTTAAGTATGTTCTTACAGATAACTGAAAAAATTGTGTACATAAACAGAACTGATTTCCAAAGGTATCATATCCCTGCCTACTCATGAACAACTAAGGGAAGCGAAATATCAGGCAAAAACTTTCTTTTGATAGTTATCTTTGCATTAACTCTAAGCTCTAGTTTCTTCACTGTGGCAGTTTTACATTGAAGAAGATATCTTAGTTCTATTTTGACACTAAACATTTTATAAATGTGTGAATTAATGATTGTAAAACCATCTGGAAAAGCCTTACCTCTTCTTTTTGCTACTCTCTTACAGACAGTTATTACTACATGTCTGCAAGGTATCAAGAGAGATGTATAGTGCTAGTTCTTGAAAATACGGTGAGGTTTAAACTAATTTTTTGTCCATTCTTTGGTTTTGTGAGTTGCTTTTTAAAAAGTGAATTCTCGTTCAAGAGCTAGATCATAAGACATCAGAGACAATGTGCCACTATGTGTCAGGAATGCCTAATTTTTCTTGATTTAGATCCCAAGTGCAATCCTTCCCACTGTCCCTTCCCACCCCAGGTAGATTATATTTGCCCTCTATGATATCCCCAAAACACCCATAGCTTAACTGCACTTTTATTCTCCACTCTGCATTATTGCAATTGCCAGTATACTTGTCTCATCTCTCCTGACTAGATGAGGAGGGCCTGGAGCGGAGATTGCCCTTTCCCAGCTCTTATTACATGGTTAGGGCACAGTGCACATGTACTGAATAGATGAATTATCACAGACTTATTTGATCAAGTGAACAGCAGATGAGAGTAGCAACCCCAATGCACAGCAGCATGTTGGTGAACTGGAAGGTAAAAAATAAAATTATAAAAGTTTAAATCCATCAATCATTTTAAAATTCCAGGGTTTTAGACATAGTAGCACATGCCTATAATCCTAGCACTTCAGAGACTGAGGTAGGAGCATCGCCATGAGTTTGAGGCTAACCTGGGCCACAAAATGAGTTCAGCTCCAGCTTAAACTGCATAAAAGCAAAATGAGTTCAACTCCAGCTTAAACTGTCTCAAAAAGAGAAAAAAAAAAAAAATCCAGCGTCTTAAACTTTTGTGCTAACAGACAATTTACCAACAGCAAAAGTGACAGATTTAAATTTCACAATTATTCTTTGCTTAGTGCTCCCTAAAAGTGAGGTCATATTTTAAAAAATGCATAATCCACATAGTAGAAAATATCTCCAAGTAAACAAGTCTGTTTATGATCAGGTAAATGAAAAAGTCTCTCTTCCTTTAAAACCCACCTGGGGTCATGTTTTGGTAGTAGCACGTAACATTTTTCAAAAGTGAAAATGACAAATGACAATAGCAGGTTAACTGTTTATAAATGAACAAAACATGTCTTGACCTCTGAAAATCGTTGTTGCAAATAATCTGCACTCTCCGGTTTCCAGGGGCTATTTCTTCAGGACTTTTCAAATGCCAAAATACCAGGTAACAGCTGTTTCTGTTCTAAGATGTTTCTCAAGTGTCCTATTTTGATGTCATTATGTAATGTTTTCCTCTTGACATACCACTCATCACTCAGTAGCCTTGTTGATATATATCACTGCATAGTTCTCTTCACTTTTGTATCAATGTCACTTTTCTAATGGGCACTGCTTCTCTGAAATCTAGAGAAAAAATTTGAGCAACACTCCAGATTGCACCAAAGCTTTTCCTTGGCTAATAAGTTCCTTTGTGAGCATAAAAATACACAAATTAGAATTCTTTCTTCCCTTTTAGCCCTCCTTCCCTTTAAAACTGCTATCACATTCTAATCTCATATACTCTCTTAATTACGTATTTTACAAAAAGGTGTGATATCCACCAAAACTTGTTCTGTTTTTCAGTTTAAATCCTGCCTTGGTAACTATTATCTCCAATATCGTTCTACAAGCATAATTTTAAATTTACCTCAACAGATATGCACTGAGTACTTACAGTATACTGTACAATATGCTGGGCCTTGGTGCTAAAAAGACCAAATTAAACGTTACTTTGTCTCTTTCCCCCAAAAATTCAAAATCTAGCATAAAAGGCAATTACAAAAGTGCTCATTTTAATGGGCTAAATATTTTAATACAGGGCTGATCTGATGTAGTCTTGCTGAGGTAGAGGTCAAGGAGACTCCCCACGGGGAGCAAATATTTGAACTGGATTCCCTTGGGCAGGAGGAAGAGTTTCTGCCAGGGAAATGGTAAGGTGAGAAGGGCATTCTAGGGGAAGGACACAGTGAGAATAGGCCCTCTGTCAGGGAAGCACACAAGGGCGCCAGCAGTGGCAGGCAGCTCTTTTGCATCAAGATCAAGGCTGTGGCATCCAACTTTGTCATAGGAAAGTAGAATCTTTACTTGCACCCAGATTGTTAAGAGTCTCGAATGCTTTGATGTTGGAAGTTTCAACTGTACTCTGTATACAGTGGGAAGCCTCTAAGAAGTATTTTAGAGAGGTATCATACTGGGAAACTGTAATAGTTAACTTGATTGGCTTGGGAGCTACCTAGGAGATTAGTAAGGCATACTTCTGGGTGTGACTGGTTGTGTCACTGAGCTGTGACCTTGGGGTCTGTTTCCAGCCCTTCACCCCTTCTCTTGTAGTTTCTGGCTGCCATGAGCTAACCAGCTTTGCTCTGTCCTGTCTTTTCGATATAGAAGAAATGTAACTCCCAACCTGCTGGATGTCAGGTGTGCTGAGTTCAGATACCCCCCAAATATTGAAGAATAAATGCCAAAAGGCAGTGGAGGTTAAGAGCAGGAAAGATTTATTGAGGGGTAACTCCTGAGAGACAGGGCTCCTGAAAGTAGGGTGCCACTGAAGCCCTTTGTTAGGGGCAATTTATATAGCAAAGCCACAACATGAGTCAAACTACTGTCAACCTATAAGATTACAAGTACAGCTGCTTAGATAATACTGATTCAATAGGGAAATGAGTCATGTAGCAAGGGTGCATAGAAAGAACAAAGACATATTTGGGAAGGAATAAGTCCAGATGCCCTTACCCACCCACCTAGGTGGCTGATGCCTGTCTGGACTTACTGGACCAAGTGATGCTAATTATAATATAATCTCAAGTTATTTATCCCTTAGGGAGCCAATAGGCCGGCCTTCATTTGTGCCCCAAGCCACAATTCTGATGTCTTTATTTTTCTGCTGATTTTCTTGACAGCCCAGTCCCTCTCTGTTTATTTCTATCTATAGTAGATAGAACTTAGCTACCTATAGTATTTTCACCATAATGTTCCAGCCTTGCAGCCACCTGACCATGGACTGAGTCTTCTGAAACAGGGAGTCAAATTAAACCTCTCCTCCTTTAAATTGTGGGTGTTTAGGGTTTTGTCCTAGCAAAAAAACTGACTAATACAGAAACCCACATAATTTGGAATCAAAAGGCCTTTTTTCTGGGACTCTGAAATGTTTTACCTGAAAAGGAACTGAACTCAATAATACCAACCTTTTGTGTCACTTACAAAAATTATGTGGTCTAGCTTTAGCTTTCATACCACTTGATGCCTTGAATTTGACATAAAACTTTTTTTTTGGACATAATACATGATGTAATAACAAAATACAAGGTGATCAACAATGGTTACCATAAATGCCTCTTACTATCTTAAAAAAAATTGCCTATATCATCAGTTATAATAAAATTGAACAAAACAGTAAAGAACACAACCAATAAAACCAAAACATTGGAGACATTGCAGGACTTCATAAGAAGATAATAGTCAACCAGAATGGGCGTCATAATGAATCTTATTGTCTTCACAGTTGTTGCCTATACTTTCGAACTTGGTACTATCAAGCAAAACAGAATAGAGGAAAATCAGTCAAAACAAGATGGTGAGAGCAATACAGAATTTCAAGTCAAGTTAATAGGAAATCAAAGTGGGTTACTATAATATATCCTGCTATTTTTATTTATTTTTCCCTTAATTAAAAAGATAAAAAAGTAAATAATAAAAAAAGGAGATTGAGATGAAAGAGGGCATAACAACAAAACAGTGCAGGTCAAAACATAACCATTTAAGCAAAATAGTGTTTCATCACAAGATATCCCGACATAAAAGTAGTTACCGTAGTGTCTCTTTCCTTGAAATCTTTGAGTATAACTTCGTATACTCTAGCATCAAACATATCAAGACAATGTAAAAACCATTCAAGAGAATGACAGTATTACAGGGTATTTAGAATCAACTAACAGAAAATGAACAATGGTTTCTGTATAATCTCCTTTTGACATAAAACTTAAAAGCAATCACTTATGTCACAGCTTCTCCAAAGTGATCTGTGGTTTCAACCAAGTTTATCCCTGTACTGTTCAAGCAAGACTTTTTCCCTTTGCATATCTACTGATGAAAAATGCTTGGACTTCAGAAGCCAGCCTCTGAGAAGAGATGAAGAATGCATGAAGCTGTCGCCAGCAAAGAGATCAGTAACATCCATTACAAGTAGGGTGTTTCAACACTTCAGAGAGCTCTGTACAAGTGACTATGGTTTGGTTCAGGTGAGCTGGGTTAAGGCCTTATCCCAAGCAGCAGCTAAGGAATGAGGAATGAGGGCTATGGAAAGACAAGAATTATGCAAGGAAACAGAAGCCCACCCAAATAAAATAGCTGCTGAACAGAGCTATGGTTCTTGCCAAATATACTAAATACACTGAGGAAACAAGAGGAAAGTTTGGTGCTAAGAGCTGAACAAATCAGAAGGTGATTACAGAACAGCTGATTTTAATCTGGTATACAGGTGCCTAGAGACTATCCATCCAGTGAGTATCTAGATAAGTTAGAAAGAGTAACTGAGTTCCTGGTAACCTTAAAGGCTCTGTTTCACCAGCCCATAACCAAACAGGAAGAACTTTGAAGGCTTAAGATCATGCATTTCAGTCACTGGACAGAGTTAGGAGGCAGGGATAGTACCCAGGGCACTGCTAAGTTTCCAAGCAACTTCATGATTTGGCAACCCAAGCCAGAGCCAACTGGCAAAATGACAAGGGTGTTTCCCCTTGGACCAGATTTACAATAGCTCTCAGGAATATGTTGTACTACCCATTCTTAGTGTTATGGTGCTGAACTTTTAAGATGCTTTGTAATTTTCTTTAAGTAACACCATGCCACATACATAATAGCAACTTTGCTTTCAACCACAAATGTCTTTAAATGAGAAAGCACCACCCCTGCCCTCATTTGGAATGCATTGTGTGCCAAACTGGGTCTTTTAAAGCAGTCATTGTGAAGCTCTATAATTGTAGCCATGCGTCAGATCTCCACTCTTTCACTCTTAAATTCACTCCCGGTGGTCTGGTTAAAGTGAATACATGCAAACCTGTCTATTACTGTTGTAGTATTTATGGTAGTAAACACAGAAAATAAAAAGATGCCCCACTTTTTTGTTATTTGAAATTATCATTCATTCATTGAACAGTTATTTTTATAGATCTGCTGTGTCCAGGCACTGTCCTGACATGGGGTTAAGATATTATGAAAAGCAGATGTAAAGGTTCCTGCCATTTTAGAATTTGAAGTCTGTGGAAGAAATGAAATAAAACAAGGTAAGCAATCAGTCAGATAATTACAACTTGTGATAGCACCATAACAGAACGAAAGAGACAGTCTTAACAAAGAAGAGAGGGGCACACTTCATGTACAAGAGCCATCTCTGAAGAGAGAACATTTAATCTAAGACTTGAGCAGTGTGAAGGAGCCCAAGAGAGAGAAGCAGTTTGGCACAAGAGCAGAAAGCCTGAAGCCTTGAGGCAAGAAAGGGGCTGGCTTGTCTCAGGGTCCCAGTGGTGCAGTGTGGCAGGAATGTCTTGGGACCCAGAGCACAGCAGTGGAAGAGTGAAGGGGTTAAGTAGAGGCCCAGGGATCAAGAGCCCTGTGGCTCGTAGTAGGAAGTATGGATATTATTGTAAGTATAAAAGCAGACTGCTACAGAGTTTTAAACTGGGCTGTTATGTGATCCTGTATACATTTTTAAAAGACTTGGTACTTTATGTAGCTCAGTGGTAGAGAAATTGCCTCCTATGCGTGAACCCTGGATTTGCATGCAAGCCTCATCTGGAAAAAAGAAAGAAGGAGAGAGTCTCATGTGGAGAAAGGAAGGGGTCAAAATGGTTGCTGGAGGGACTGGGGATTTAGCTCAGCGGCATAAGCGCCTGCCTTGCAAGCAGGCAGTTGTGAGTTCGATCCCCAGTACCGATAAAAAGGAAAAAGACAAAAAAAAAAAAAAATGTTCGCTGGGGAACAAATACTCCCTGAGAGAAGTACTGCCTGGTCATGCCCCCCTTGGGGTTGTCCAAAGGATGGTGACTAGGGAATTTAGGGCCTGTCACTAAATTTTCTTCACACTTTTTTTCTAAATGCCCAAAGTATTTGTCTCTTTCCCTGTTGTGCCAGAAGTATTTTAGCCATTCAGATGGGCCCTTCAGGTAGAAACCTGGCTCCAGTACTTTG